GATGCATACGTAGACTAGCCATAGCTTCTTGTTCCGACGGTCAGACATTATGATGTAAACGAACGTTGTGAATACCAAAAAAGAATTCATGATCATCTGAGTAATATATAACCAAAGGAAGGAGGCTCTAGTACTACGGTATTATCATGCAAGACCAAAAAGGGTTCATCAGACAATAAGGCCCACAGGTCAGACACACACCTTGCAGAACTAATGGTGACAAGAAGCACAACCTTGTGAGAGAGAAAGAAAGGGGGAATATCCTTAATAGTAGGGCTGGTAATGATTAAAATTTTCCTGTTCGATTAATTGAATTTTTTTTTAATCGATTAATCGACGGATTAATCGTTAATTTCCGCACCCCTACTTAATAGGTTAAAAAGATGGTCTTTGAAGTGCTGAGAGAACCATATTCGAATACCATGGAGTCACGGGTTGTACACGAGAAACATTCAGTACCAAAGAATCGGATGCAAAAGATCTTTGGGATAAGATGAAAAGGACCATGATGTGTCCCTTAAATGGTATTCGGGGGCCAAATGTTGATCCAAACCTGACTGTAAAAAGGTCAGGAGTATTTTCTGTGGTGAAAGTTTCTTTCCCTGCACCAAGCGAAGTATTGATACCGGAGGATTGTAGGCAGGGGCGGACTGGGCCTGGGGGGGCCCTTTAAAATGGCTTCAGTGATTGGGCTCCTCTGCAGCCACCTGCAGTTTACTCTGCTCAGAGCAGGTCCTGGAGTGAGGGTACTAGGAGACGGCTGGGGGCATCATGCTGGGCTGGAGGCTTCCCACAGATGTCAGAAACATTGCGGCTCCCCCCCACCACCACACAGAGAGGAAGAGGGCATAGTGGCAGAGCACATGAATTAGGATATCACTAAGTCTGTTCTTTCTGCGTCACACTAATGACCTCTGTGTCACACCTCCGACCTCTGCATCAAACTGCTGATCCCTACACTCTGGGTCACAGCCTCTGTACTCTACATCACACCGCTGACCTCTGCACTCTATGTTACAACGCAGACCTATGTACTCTGCGTTACACCACTGACCTCTGCAATTTAATTTGACTGCGTTAGGTCCCGCACGGCAGCCTTCTGAGGAACTAAGTAGCGCCTGCATATAGGGCTTCTGCCACCCGCACATCTCCCCCTCCTGAGAAATCACACCGGCACCCTGGAGCAGAGAATGTACCATATTTATATACTATTATTCTGCATTGCTGGGATTTTTAATCCTCTATAGCTGATGGTATTCTGCATTAGAGATTGTAAGCTCCTCTATACAGATACTGATGTGACTGGCTCAGTGTTCTCTACACATCACTACGGCATATGTGCCAGAGATATACAATTGTATAAAACATTTTTTTAAAGTGTGCAAATATGTGTGTGGGGGGGGGG